AGAAGGAGAGTAGAGAGAGAAAAAAATAGTAGAGAGAAAGAATATTTGAGGAAATAATGGGTGGAAAATTCCCAAATTTAATGTAAGATATGAATCTGCACATCTCAGACACACAACAAACTTTAAGTAGAGGAAACTCAGCAATCCAAACTGTTACACATTATAATCAAAGTGTTGTAAGGCAAAGACAAAAAAATCTTGAAAGCAGCAAAAGTGAATCAGCTCTTCATATATGAAACATTCTCAATATAATTAACAGCTTATTTCTAATCAGAACCTATACAGGCTAAAAGGTAATAGGATGACATATTCAGTTCCCTTGTAGAAAAAAATCAAAAACAAATTGTCAACCAAAAATTGTATGTCTGGCAAAACTTCAAAAATGAAAGAGAAATTAATATATTTCGTGATAAATAAAAATAAAAAATAAGTATTTTTTCTATTTGATTTAAAAGACATTTGCCCAAAACAATAATTATCAAACTTACATTGATGAACACATAATATATAAGGATTTAATTTGTAATAATAGCATAAAGGAAGTACAGAGCTATATAGGAACAATATGTTTATATACTGCTGAAAGGAAGTTGGTATTAATTGTAACTAGATTGTTATGAACTGTTAATTATAATTCCCAGGACAACTGCTAAGAAGTTAATTCTGTGTGTGTATGTATGTATGTATGTATGTATGTATGTATATATAGAATCATACTAGAAGAAATGAGAAGAGAATGAAAATGGCACTCTGGAAAATTTCTAACACAGAACAAAGCAGTAGTAAGGTAGAATTGAGAGGGACAAAGATATATGGGAAATAGCAAAATGGCAAAAGTAAATCAGTCCTCATTTATTACATTAAATGTAAGTACAGTAAATATTCCAGTGAAAGACACAGGTTGGCACAATGGATTTTTAGAAATGATCCAACTGTATGTTTTTTTCGTGACTCACTTTGAATATAAGGACCCAAGTGGTTTAATATGAAAGGATGGAAAGATATTTTATGCAAAGTTTACCTCTACAAAATAATATAGCTGAAGTAGCTATGTTAATATCACACAACAAAGACTTTAAGACAAAAATTATAGGGGCGCCTGGGTGGCTCAGTCGGTTAAGCGGCCGACTTCAGCTCAGGTCATGATCTCGCGGTTAGTGAGTTCAAGCCCCGCATCAGGCTCTGTGCTGACAGCTCAGAGCCTGGAGCCTGTTTCAGATTCTGTGTCTCCCTCTCTCTGACCCTCCCCTGTTCATGCTCTGTCTCTCTCTGTCTTAAAAATAAATAAACGTTAAAAAAAATTTTTAAAAAAAGACAAAAATTATACAGTAGACAAGAAAGACATTATATAATGGTGAAAGAGTGAATCTATTAAAACATGTATGCACCTGTCAGAGCCCCAAAATATATGAAGAAAAAACTGACAGAATGGGGGGAGACATAGATAATTCAACAGTAGTAGTTAGAGGCTTCAATATCCCACTTTAAAAAATGAACAGGACGGCTAAACTGAAGATCAACAAGGAAATAATAAAGGTTAATAACTTATTACAAGCCAACTAAACCCAATAGATGTATAGAGAACATTCCACCAAAAACAGCAGAATGTATACTTTGCTCAAATGATATGGAATATTCTCCAGCATAGACCATATATTCGACCACAAAAGTTTTCATAAATTTGTAAATATTGAAATCATAATGGCATTTTTCACCACAAGGAACAGGTTTGAAATCAGTAACAAAAGGAAATTATACAAGACACTCTTTAAGTACTAAAGCAACTGGAACTCTCATACTTTTCTGGTAGAATTACACATTGGAATGATCCCTCCTGTAAATATTTTGGTAAATATGCTTATCATGTAAGCCAGTAATCCCATTCTTAGGTATTTATCCAAGAGAAGTTAGGACATTTGCCTATGTAACAACTTGTCCTCAAATGTTCATAGTAGCTTTATTCATAAATAGCCCCAATCTAGAAAGAAGTGAAATACCTAAGTAGAGATAAATAAATCGTGATGTCCACCCAATGGTACACTACAAACAGTAAAATCCATTAATTAATAATACATTCAGCACTATGAAAGAATCTCAAGAGATTTATGTTAAATGAATTTATGTGTGTATGGGTGTAGTAATTTGATATTCAGAAAGCCATAGTGGTAAAAAGCAGATGAACAGTTGCTAGTAGCAAAGGAGGAGTGACTCCAAAGAGACATGAAAACATTTTGTGGGGTGGTGGAAATGTTTTATATCATGATTGTGTTTTCAGTTATATTGGTAGACACAGCTGTGAAAACTCATTTATACACTTTAACTTGTTTTATTGTATGTAAATTATATCTTAAAACAAGAGTAACCCACAAAATATAAAAATAAGTAAAGACAAGAAAAAACCCACTTTGGAATCAAGGGCTTGGGGGATGGAGACAACATTACTTGAAGTAAGAGTTTTTTAAGAGTAAGTCAAAATGGAAATTAGAGATTATTTGAAATTTGTGACAATGAGAGCACAAAACTTATGGGATGTGGCCCAAACTATTACAAATGAAATATTAGCCTTAAGTGATTTTATTATTTAAAGTAAAAATGGCAGGGGCGCCTGGGTGGCGCAGTCGGTTAAGCGTCCGACTTCAGCCAGGTCACGATCTCGCGGTCTGTGAGTTCGAGCCCCGCGTCGGGCTCTGGGCTGATGGCTCAGAGCCTGGAGCCTGTTTCCGATTCTGTGTCTCCCTCTCTCTCTGCCCCTCCCCCGTTCATGCTCTGTCTCTCTCTGTCCCAAAAAAATAAATAAAAAGTTGAAAAAAAAAAATAAATAAAGTAAAAATGGCCTAAACAATCAAGGAGCTAGACCCATATTCACATCAACCCCCATACAAAATAGGATATAAAAATACTTTTTGTTAGCCTGTGAAAAGGCTAACAAAAAATAAAATGGAGTAAACAAGCTACATCATGAATAAGAAAGAGTATGACTAAGATGACATCATTAAAAATGAGGGAATGCAGTATACAGCACTACGCTAACAAAATTTAAAATCTTTTTTTCTTTTTAAGAGAGATAGAGCAAGCGAGTGAGTGAGCATGTGCCCAAGCAGGGGAGGGACAGAGGGAGAGAGAGAATCCCAGGCAGACTCCATGCCCAGTGTGGAGCCCCACATGGGCTCACTCTCAGGCCTGTGAGATTATGACATGAGCCGAAATCCAGAGTCAGATGCTTAACAGACTGAGCCACCCAGGCACCCCGAAATTTAAAGTCTTAATAAAGTAAAGTAGGTCCTTTCTACAAAATAAGTCATCAGAATTTAATTGTAATAGAGTACCTGAAAGGGTTTGTTTTCTGCCTTACCTCTCACTATCCCCACATTTTAATATTTTGCTCCAGCAGAATGGATCTGTACACTTCCTAAGCATAGCCAGTGTTTTCCCATGTGTCGAGTATTGCTTACTCACTTTTCTCTATTGTTACTACCATTTCCTCTTTTTTGTGTGTATTTGGATGCTACCTATTTTTCAAGTAAGTACACATTCCATTTCCTTCAGGACACTTACTTTAGCATGTTAGCTAGAAATAAGCACTTGTGGCAATAGTCATCTGTCACTTACTCTGCCTTGTAGACTTGGGTATCTTTTCATACTCTTATGTCTTCCTCTCCCTTACAGAGAATAAATTCTGTGACTATTCCCCCTATGTAGACACATCATTCCTGCTACATATATACCTCTCAGTTTATACAGAGTAGGAACTCTGGAAATAAATATTTACCTGATTGCTAAAAAGTGAATCAAGAGAGGATTCAAATTAGGAAAAAGTGGTTAGCTACTATTTCAGGTAAAATTAAGATTTTTGAGGGGTGCCTGGGTGGCTCAGTCGGTTAAGCATCCGACTTCAACTCAGGTCATGTTCTTACTGCTTGTGGGTTCAGAGCCTGGAGCCTGCTTCGGATTCTGTGTCTCCCTCTCTCTCTGCCCCTCCCCTGCTTTCTCTCTCTCTCTCTCTCTCTCTCTCTCTCTCTCTCAAAAATAATTACTCGCCACTGTAAAGTGGTTATTTTCCTGTTTTGATATTCCTTAATATGGTGGCTGATAGCAATGAGCATGCGGAGGTTGCAACAGCACATAATTTAATGTTGAACTCTAATTTAGTTATTCTTTTGTTCCCATGTATAACCTGTGCTAATTTGCTTTTTCCTTATTAGGGGTGTTGTAATTTGCATCTTTCATGATTTTTTTATGAAGTATTGCTTATTTTTTCATTGTGATCTGGATTGATCTACATCATGAATAATTCTTTCATAGGTCACTAGACTAATTCTTTGAGACTAGGACTCTTTGGGTGAGCAGTTAAAATTTAAGTTAGTATTTTCCCTTTTTTCTTCCAAAAAGAGAAATTGACAAATTAAGTCAATATTAATGGATTGCTATAGTGACACCTTTGTTAATTAACTGTTGATGGCTATCCCTATTGGTTCAGGCAAGCTAGAGCCTAGTTAGACAGTGGCAGAAAAGCATTATCTCAGATTTTTCCAAGCTTTTGGTATTTAAGAAATATAAATAACAAAACAAAACAAATCTTTGTCTCGTCCAGTAACTTTCACTGCCTTTCAAATTATTTCTAAAGTTAAATATTCTTGTATTCAGCTTTGCGTTGTATACCTCTTAAGGTATATAGATATTTAGCCATTTCAACTATCTTGTAGAAACCTAATATGGTTTTAAATTTAATTATCATGAGTTTAACATTTCTGAAAAATAAGCACCATTCTGTACCATATCTGTAAACTTAGAAATGTTTTTATGAATCTCCTCTTTATCCTATGAGGAAATAATTTTTAGTCTTTTTTGATAATATTTATAGTATTTTAAAGAAATATTCTCAGAAATCAAAGTGTTAAACTAATGTTCCTAATACTGGGAGAGGAAAAACATAGGGTTTTAGATAATCATAAAAATTAGCAGCAAATTAACTGACAGTGATAAAACTTTTTTCTCTTCAGGGCCAAGGAATATGAGAGTTTAATGGAAACAAAAAACTCTGGATCTGACTCACCTTATAAAGCAAAGTGAGTATTTTACCCTATATTTTATTTCTCTATCTCACTGGTGTCTGCCTATACAAAAGTTTATCTGAACTTGTATTCCTGTGATCCTGGGCTTTGGTATCGGTTGCCTAGAGCTTCATTCTTCTAACACAGTGGTCTCCAGCCAGGGATGATTTTGTCAGGGGATATTTGTGCCTGGGGATATGTAAACACATTTTGGTTATCACAGCTTGGAGAAATGGTGCTACTCCCATCAAGTGTAAAGAGACGCAGGGATGCTGTTAAACACTCTGCGGTGAGCAAAGAATTATCTCATCCAAAACATCAGTAGCGCCTAAGTAGAGAAATGCTGTTCTAGCAGAACAGGTTCTGGCAGTGCTGTTCTGGTTCTTGCTCTGAGGAGGCCTTGTTCAGGATTGTTGCCAGGGCCACTTGACAAATGAGGAGGATCTGACTCCACCACTGAGTATACATGTAACTACACAGGAGCTAAGTAAACAAAACCATCATCATTTTGCTTCTCTCAAATATGTTACCAGTAGAGGTGTGGTGAGGAAGATACTCAAAAACACTGCTGATGGGAGTGCAAATTAGTGTAGTCTTAGTGAAAGGCAATGTGAATCCAGAGCTTAGAACATACACTGCTGCTTGGTGAAATAATGCAAAATGTGCCCAAATATTTATATACAAAAATAACTATTTTACTGTTATTTTTCATAGTGAAAAAGTCAAGAAATAACTGCCACAAATTGAGGAATATCTATAACCAGTTGTTGGTGTAGATATGCTATAGCATTTTAATGTAGCAGTTATTTACATTTAAAACAGAAATATTGTTGCCTTCTGAAATGAGCTACCCACTGGGGCACCTGCATGGCTCAGTCAGTTAAGCGTCTAACTCTTGATTTCAGCTCATGTCTTGATCTCAGGGTCATGAGTTTAAGCTCTGTGTTGGGCTCTGTGCTGGACATGAAGCCTACCTAAAAAAATAGAAAAAGAAATGAGATGCCCTTAAGATAATTACTTTTATCACTTATTGTTTTGAAACAATTAGTCATTGCCATCCTAAAAGAAAAAAAATGTGTAAAATATTAAAGAAGTTAACAAAATTATCAAGATTATGATACTGTATATCTGGAAAACCCAAGAAAATCAAGTGAAAAACTAGTAGAAATAAGAGAATAAATTCAGTAAGGTGGCTGATTACCAAATTAATGTGATAATATTTGGCTTTTCTGGGCCTTTGCCTCATTCCAGTCTCCTTACTTGTGTTGCCTCGTTTATTCCTCACAACAACTCAATGAGTTTCATTAGGGAAGCTAAGCCTTAGACAGGGTAAGTAACTTGCTTTAAGATAATGCAACAACATAGCCAAGCTACAAAATTAATACTTTCCTTTCTCATGATCAGTTAGAAAACATCAATATCATTTACAATAGCAATAAAAAATAAACTAAGAATAAACTTGACAAGAAATATGAAGGCTCTATAAAAATTAAAAACCTTAAAATCCTAACAAAGGGTATAAAAGAAGACTTGTATAAATGGAAAAACAAATTACACTCTTGGATAGAAGACATGGTATAGTAAAATGTCAATAAAATAACAACCGTTTTAAAAAAAGAATCATTTTAAAGAACATGCAGAAAAATAAATGAAAATTTCTAGAAAAATAATTTTAAGGGATAGTGAGGTAGGACTGCACTTACAGATATCAAAGTATTTGTTAAAATATTTTTGCACTGGGGCATTAATAAAAATTCAAATTGATGGAAGAGAGTTTTAAAAACAGTCTAGAAATAGATTAAAATATTTGAGCAAATTTAATATATGATGGTGAGATAATGTTTACAAAGATAGCCACAACTTGAGCCATTCCTGGGGGCATGCCCCTGTGCAATCTAATATAACTTTGCCACTATTACATCAAGTGGTGGACTCTATTTCCTTTCCTCTTGAATTTATTCTGGACTTTTGACTTGTTTTTGACCTGCAGACGACTACAGAAGCACTATGTGATTTCCAAGACTTGGCCTCGGAAGTCTTGAGGCATCTCTTTCAACCTCACTTTCTTGCTCCCCTATGATTTCCGTGTAGGGAAGGCTGGGTCAGCCCCCCGCCCTCCCTCCCGCCTTGAGGATGAGAGATCACTTGCTCATGGTGATAATCCTTTTAATATGTAGTTGAATTCATTTTGCTTGTTCTCTTGAGGATTTTTGAATCAGTGTTCATAGGAGATTTTAAAATTTATCAAGCCTCTGCTTGTGTTACATTTGCTTATATCCCATTGACCAAAGCAAGTCATCTCACCAAGTCCAGGGTCATTGTAGGAGGAGAGTGTACAAGTCATGGATAGCAGGGTGTAATTCGGGAGGGCCTTTAATGTAAACAGTCTACTTCAGAACTTTCTCTGGATTCTCCTCTTACTTGACTGGCCACTCTTTTTCAGTATCTTTTGCTCGGTTCTTACTTGTCTCCTGGACCTCCAACATTAGCATGCCTATGTCTTGAGCATTCAAACACAGAATTATTCCCTTGGTAATCTTACTCAGTTTTATGACTGTAAACGTTTAGTCACTGATGGATTTTAAATTTAGGACTCCAACCCAGCCCTCTCCCCAGAACTCCAGGCTCATATATCCAACTTCCTATTTAGTATTTCCACTTGGATGTCTGTTTGTTCAGTTGGACCCCTCAAGTGAACGTGTACAAAATTAAACTCTTGAAATTTGCTCCCAAACTTTACCCCTCATATTTTTTGCTCGTTTTAGGAAATGGCAAGTCCATCCTTCAAGTTGAGACTAAAATCTTTAGAGTCATCCTCTTTCTCCTCACACTTCATTCTCAGTCCATCAACAAATTCTGTTGGCTCTGTCTTTAAAATATATTCAGAATCTGACCACTTTTCATTACCTCCATAGTAACTACTCTGATTTAACCTACCATTATCTCTCATCTGGATTAATTTAATAGCCTCCTAATTAGTCTTCTACTGCTTCTGCTTTTCCTTATTACAGTCTGTTGACTACTGGGCAGCCAGGACGTTTGTTTAAATTATAAGCCTAGAAAAAATAGCAGTAGCAATAGAAGCATAATTTTTCAGTATCTCCAGATCTTCACATAGAAACCAGGCAAGTAGTTAAGAAAACCAAAAACCCATGGCAGTGTTTAACAACAAACCACCTTACCAGATATCTCCATGAAATCCAAAAAACAAGTAAATCCAAACAGCCTTAGGTACTGCATGTTATTGACATCAGTGTGAAAGAAAGCAAAAAGAAGCAACTGGAATAACAGATGTAAGGAAAGAAGAAGAACCCCAAAATAACTAAGGTTTTCACTGCAAAGTACAGGGAACCAATTTGAAAAAAATCACTTGAACCTCATTTTCAAGTAAGTTCCTCTGGGAGGGCTCATGTGAACAATGTTGCCTTGCTCTTGCATATCAATAATTTTATGCCTTCAAAAATTAGTTTTACCAATTGCAAAATTATTGACCCACATTTTTTTTCTTGAGGATCTTCAATCTTAAAAAATGAACTTTATCTAATCAAAATTGTTAGACTTCAACATAATGACTGTGGTGAACCTGATATAGTTTCTTATAGAACTAAGACTGATGGCCAGAAGAAGAATATTACATAGTAACTGTATCTCATAATTTTATAACATAACTAAGAAAAATATCAGTGAATATGAGGAGAACGTATGCTAATAAATTAAATGTTCTCTAATTATATTGGTAATGATACCAGTAATGTTATTCTGAGTCTGTTCTGCATATAATATGCGATAAAGTAAAAGATATTATGCAAACTAAAATTCTCTCATCCCCTGTGTTCCTGAGAAGTTGAGTCCTGAGTTTACAAGAAAGGAGAAAGGAGATAAATGTAATATAGAAGAGATGAGGTAAAACCCCTGTAGGACTGAATTTGAATTAAATGAATTTATGAGGTATTTTATCTTTCAGAAAGCGTTATGTGTATTTGTGTGTATACATATTTGTATATGTATGTGCATATGTATACATGTATATATATGAATGTATGTGTATATGCACACATTTATTTCCTAGCTCTGCCCATTAAAGAGACCTAGAAACAATGACCAGCATAATGGCAGTGAGCTCACTGATTTGGGACTTGAAATATCATTTCTCACGAAAAGAAGCGAGAACTTCTTAGAAAAATGCCTAATTCTAGATCTAAATGCCCTGTCATACTAGATGGCAAGGAGGCTATCAAAAACTTCTAGCATTTTGTCCAAGGACTCAGTAGCCAACTTAAGAATTTTATACTGGACAAAGAAGATAATTTGACCTTCCAAAAGGATAATTATTATAACTGATTTAATTTGGTAACCAAATAGTAGATGAAGTGTCTTCTTATTAAAATATTCTAGCCAATAAGTGAAAATGACTCTTTCTCTCTTCCTCTGGTTACCCTTCCCTTTCCAGAAAAATTTAGTCCTGAAGTCATTAGATGAGAGAATACCAAGCAGCCATCTGCAGTGTTGAGATGGCCGGAGACAACAGTGGCACAGTGGGGGATGTAAGAGCCTGAGGAGGCTGAGGTGGACATTTGTGCAGGGGCATGAGGAGTGGCCATATGTGGAAGCTCAGAGCCCCAGCAGAATGAAGGGAGCTTCCATGTGAGGTGGGGCATCATGGCCTGGCGTGGTGAGTCAGAGCAGAATGAGGAGGGCATCTCTATGGAAGAGCATCCTGGCATAGTCTGTTAGAGCCCACGTGAAGAGGGAAGCCTGACAAAGGCTGTTGAAACCCAAGCAAGGGTGAGAGAGCACAAAAACCCAGAGTGGGGAGTCAGAGCCCAAGCTGGGACATAATAGCATACATATAGAAACAAAGATGGGTGATATGTTACATGTAGGGGAATTGGTCAAATAAATAAATATATTAAGGATGATGAAAGGCAGATTGCTCACTACTGGAGAAGAGTTAAAAATATATCCAGGAAGAATAGAAGGACCATGTAGTGAATTGGAATTATAGGTATCAGTTT